GGTGACACTGTTCTGCAATTTCTGTTATAATTATTAATTTCTAAAGTGGTATCGTGATACAATCCTACAAACACATCTTGGGATGAACTAGAGTGATAGAGAAAGTCTCTGGAATAATTATTAGTAGACAGCATACAAGCATTTTCTGTTATTCTGTGTATATTTTAAACATTCATTGGATATTCGTTAGTCTGTGATCAAAATGATCTAGATGGGCCATTTTCATTCATCTGGAATTCTTTTTTTGCACAGATGGCTATAGATTGAAAAAGTCAAGTATAATTCAAGAGGAAATTTTGGCAAAGACATGCAAATATAATTCGTGAAACAAAACAAGAACTTCAAGTATTCATGTAAGTCTATATAGAAAAAATAATTGTATGCAAGATAGGCAAGAATTCCTCAGAAAACGGAACAAAAGAAGCATCTGAAGATTTTGGCCCAATTCCTTTTTCTTTTTCTTTTTTTTTTTTTTTTGAGTTGGAGTCTCACTCTGTCACCCAGACTGGAGTGCAGTGGCTGCTCCCGGCCACTGCAGCCTCAACTTGCTGGGCTCCAGCGATCCTTCCGCCTCAGCCTTCCGAGTAGCCGGAATTACAGGTGCGCGCTACCACACCTGGCTAATTTTTTGATTTTATTGTAGAGATGAAGTCTCGCCTGCCCAGGTGGGTCTCGAACCCGCGGGCTCAGGCAATCCACTCACCTCAGCCTCCCAAAGGCGCGAGATTACAGGCTGAGCCACCAAGCCCGGCTGACCCAATTCTTAAAGTACGGAAGTCTTGCTATTTGACATAAATCAATTTTCCTTTAATTAACGTGCTTGTAAACCTACCCTTATATATTATGCCTAATAGTGTCACATCAGAAACTGGCATATTTCTCTGACTCAAAATATGTAGTAAACAGGTTAATACCTTTTAGGATGAATCCTGAAGCAAAGCAATCTCACACACTCAATCTGAACATCTTCTCCAGAAACCCTTATTCAAGTTATGCTTTTCTACATGCTGTTCCCTCAGAATGTCACCTGGCACCCTAATCATGCTGTTCCCTCGATGACTTGTTTCTACTAAAAGCTATCTTCCCAAGCCTAGCTCAGAAGCTCTCTTCCCATGTAACTTTCTCAAGATAATTACTGACTTCTTCTTCTGATAATAGTATACTGAATTTTTCTTCCACTTAGTACACATCAATGACTTGTTAGTTATTAATGTGCTTCCCCCAATAATGCTATAATCTTTCACAGAAATCAGTTTTGATCATAGCTCTGTTCTAACATCTATTTTACTGTTTCACTTCATCTAAATGTTCAAAAGGCACTGAAATATTGACATGGATAGAACATAAAGTCCTGTCATTGCTATACCCCAGGCCATCTTTGGGAAATCACTTAATATGTTAGTATATTATTGTTTCCTCTTGTTTTAAAAAATAGCTGGTGATGAGAATAAATAACACTATGAATTGAAACACCCTTAGCTATTGAAAGACAGTATATTTGAGGTATTGCTATCAAAATCCATTGTAAGTATCCTACTTGCATTTGTGGAAGCACCTCTTAGAAGCAAAGAAGAAATAGATGTTGTTTTTATATTCTTGAAGTATCATAAGTAGCTGCTAAATGTTAACATAGGGTTAATGAACACATGGCATATGAGAATGTGTCCTACTTTGCTATGCACCTTAAAATAGTGGATGTATATCCCAAGAGTTTTAACACACTTTCCAATAGAATGAGGATGTTTCTCAAATTTACAGAGTCCACAGTCGAGGTGAACTTTTGACTATATTACCCTTTCCTCTGACCATAAGTAAGAGATACACTGAATTCTCACGTCTTTTTTTTCAGGTGACTGTGGTCATTTTGGGCAGTAGTTCTGTCCCACCATGTCTGTTACCTGAATCCATGGCCATCTGTCATTTTCTGCAGCTGTCCACGCATTTATGAGCCCCTTCTTATTAAGGCGTGCATAGTAAGGATACCACTTCTGGAGTCCGAAAAGAGCTCGGTGGGTGGAGGAAGCAGTGATTTGCTGATTTGATATGATTCCGCCTTCAATTCCAAGTGGGCCAGAGCATTCTGGGGACAAATCAGGAAAAGATGTGAATGTATTAGAAATACGACATATGCAAACTGTGGCTATTAGAGTTGATGGTAGATATTTCTTAAATGACTTGAATTTGCATCCTTGTGCTATTTACACCTCATCCAGATTACAGTTCTGTTGCTGTCCCTGTTTGAAGGAAATAACTGCATCTCCTCAAGATTCTCTCTTCTTCCTTGGCTTTGAGAGTGGCCATGGAACAGCATGACGATGCTATTATGTGCTGCTATCTTTCGATTGGTGAGCACATCAACATGAGCCTCATGCTTTCAAGAGGCTTACCTCAAACTGCAGACTCCCAGAGATTAGCATGCCTCATAAATAATAAGCCCTCGACAAATAGCTGTCCAGTCACTACTTCTTGGCTAGCATACATCTGAGTTTGTTGTCAAAACATTCCTGTGCTAACTTAACATTCTTCCTATTAAAAACTTAAATTTTTGTTTTATATCCATTATCACTTATGCTTCCCACAGATTTAAATGCTTAAATCTGTTAACATTTTAAAGTAATATTATATGAACCTGCAATATATATAAATTATAAAATCATGTAGACAAATTATCTTTATAAAGAGGCAAACTCTCTGACAACATTATACATGACACAATGCCTACTGCTCAGCTAACTGAGATAATAAAAAATTTATCTTTCTAATATCTTTAGTTCAAAATTCACAAATCTATGTATTGGGATTCTGCACTTGCGTTTTAATTTTGTTGTTGTTGTTTTCTTTTCTTTAAATTTTCAACTTAGAAATTTTAGAAGATTTACAAATAAAAAGTTAAAATATTAAGATTAAACCTTAATATACACAAGTAATACATTCATAGGTACCAAATGTGTTTAGTTTTTTAATTTGGAGTGGAGGTAAATCCATTTGAAATTATATGCTTCCATTTTATATATACACTTGTATATGAATAATTGAATTTATCAATTACTTCATAAAATTTCACCAGAAGGTACATTTATTTTAAATTCAGCTTTGAACATTCAGAATAAGTAGGATTATAATGTAATGAAAAATAATGCCTGATTTTTAAAATTTTATTAACACTGAATACTCTATACACAACATTTCACCAGTTTAGATTTGTATAATAAATATGATGATCTTATTCTCAAACATATTCAAATAATGTATCGGAATGACTGAAAATAAGAAAGGAGTACAATGCCATTGTTAAATGTCTATGCAAAAGTCAACTTGATAGGTGATTGCCTCCAAGCATGCTTGAGATGTTAATTACCATAGAGGTCATACACTATTATGCTCAGACTGAGCTTAAGGATATGAAAGAAAAAATTCAGCAGCTGGATTATAACATTTTAAAATAGTTCAGAAGATATTTCTCATTGCTAATCACATTTTTTGTTGTCACGAATATGTTTGTTTTCCTACTCCAAGCTCAGAGAGTAAGTTGCTTTGATGACTTTAAAATCTTTAAATATTTTTTTATAAAGAAGATTATATAGAAAATATGTAAGTAGTCATCTTAATCACACTGTATTAGTAAAGATGACATTACTATAGTAAAAACTGCATCCTTATCATGGACAATTTAAAAAAATTACTTACTTGATATGCTAAATTTAGATAATAAGACCTTTTATTTTAGACCAGTAATTAGGACTGTTAAACACTTTATGAAGGTGCACTATATCACTTTGAAGTCATCAAATTAAGAAGCCATTAATTTGTAGAATTGCAGCGTTAGGAGCTACAAATAATAATCTGATTTTCACAGTTCCAAAAACAATATTGAAAACTCAAATATTGATTCTTTGGATTCTTGTTTTGCATTCCATTTTAAACTTCATGATTTGTACAGACTTCATAGAACTACTAAGAAACTTTCATGATGACATACACAATTTTAGAGCCTGGTTTTTCAGGAAGATTGCCATTAGAGGAGCCTTGAGGACCTTGTCCTTGATTTGTACAATGCTTGGGTGGAAGAATGCGGCAGTGGGAGGCCATTTATTGTAGGCCAGTCAGTAGATGAGCAGAGCTGGAAAGTCAGCATTGATTAATTAAACTGTTGGCAGCCTTAAAAGAGAACTCTCTAAGTCGTAGCACCTTGTGCTGAATTGGACATCCTCACACAATCTGTAACCATTTAAAAAGAGGGAGCAGATAAACCACACTATTCTAGAAGTCCACTTTGTGGGCGCTCTTAATCTACCCATCTCCCTTTAGTAGCTAACCTGTCACCAAACACATTGGGTGTGAACTGTTGTATTGTCATAAGCCAAATACCAATGAGTGATTTTTAAGAATATCCTTGCATAGCTTACTCTGCCATAAGGCTCCCAATTGTTCACATTCCCTCATTAGCCATGCACATTCATTCATTCATTCATTCAGAAAAAAAACATAATTCAGATAATATGTTTTGACATGCCATAACTATATAGGGCTTCACAGTGTACAAGGAAGTTTTGCATGAGCTTTCTTGTTGCCATGATGACAAATTTACGAGTATTTCTTTTCTAGACCTCAAATCTATATTGCTGCTTGTCATCTTAAATAAACTTCTACAACATTCTTATACATTCTCTATCACTTATAGTCAGCAAAGCCCCAAGTCCACCAGAGGAAACCTTACTGTGGCAGGGGTTTGTGATGGAGCATGAGTCTGAGGTTATAAGTGTACTTTCTGGGGCTAGTGAGCCTGCATTTTTCTCTTTTTAAAAACTGGAGTTATGATGACATCTAATTTATTAGTTGTGAGGAATACAAGGTAATAAATGCTTTGCCCTTGTCCCTATAAATTGTCAAAACATAATGAGTGTGGTTCTGCAGGTCATGTGTAAGCTATTTTGTAGAGCACCCAATCGAGGTGAGCTGGCCTTGTAGACCCTTGGGAGCAGGTGCTGGGTCTTCCTCACTGTTCCCTCCTCAGATGCTCTTGGTAGCTTGTACACAGGAAGAACTGAAGAAATATGCAACAAACTTGTTATTGGGGAAATTTTCTTTCCCAAACAGCAAATTAATAAGCATATTCAAGTCTTATATTTATTCCATATGAAAAGTTGTCATAACAGCAGATTTCCTTCACTAATCATGTGGCCCACAGTCGAATGGATGTCATCATAATAAAAGGTTCAAAATCCAATTTCCTCTTGCCCATGCTTCCCACCTCCCTGGCGTACTATTAAATTCAGCAGTAATAAAAACCAATGAAGGAGCCGCAATCCAGAATGCACATGATCATACATCTGAGACTAAGTGACCTTAAAACAATTAATAATAAAATGCTTAAATGAAGGATATCATGAAAATATGCATTGCCTCTACTATCAAGGAGTGAGGGAAGAGACATGAAATAATGGATGAAATGATTACTACCCATTGAGAATGCTGAGGTTTGAGAAGTGTGTCCATGTGTGTTTTCTCACGCAGTTTTTGAAATAATACTTCAAAGAAAAAAGGTCATCAGTCCTCTCTGACAGATAAGGAGCTCTGTGAGGGGGGAAGTTAAACCTGCAAAAGAGGAGTCTGGAATTTAGTGTGAAGAGCTCAGTCGTTCTTCCAAGTTCCACTCTGATCTTTACCTCTGCTACTCTATGTGGGGCGTGTGCACTTACACATATCAGGAAAGGCGACAGAAGGATTACCATGAAGGCAATAGGTAGAAGATCACCGGTGACTTTCATGATATGACAGAGCTTTTACAAGTTGGGATACATGAAAATAGCAGATGACAGTTTATAGCAGTCATCACAGAAATAGATATTGAGGGTTTATAGTAGCGTTGCTCCTGTGGCATTAAAAAATTAACCTGATGCCGTCCCTGGCCCATATACTGCTTATCTAATATGGATAGGTGGATTCTGTTCTTGATAATTTGTTGACCTCCAACTATGTGTTCATGCATCCATTGCTCCTTCTATTCTCTGTTCCTTTAGTTCAGTTTTGAAAACACGTATTTATTGAAGTTCTGCAATATATTAAGCACTTTTCTTAGGCAGCTTCAGTGATATGAGGTTGAACAAGCAGAAGAGGTCTCTGCTTTTGAAGAGCTCATATTCTAGTGGGAGAATAATAAACACACTTAAAAGAGAACAGTCATAGTAAATGCTGCGAAGAAAAAAGGTGACTCAAGTGAGGGTGTGTCAGGCAATCAGAGATGACCTTCCTGGGAGGCGACACTAAATTGGATGTCTGAGTGGGGAGCAGGTGCGGGCTATTGTGTCAGTTTACAGAACTGGCCTCCTCAGGGGTTCCAGTCTAGGGGGGGAGACACAGAGATGAAACATTTGTGTAGAGTACGGCAGAGGCTGTGAAGGTAGGTCACAGGAGTCAGTGGAGAATGGAGGAGGGAAGCAAACCTAGTCTGGAGTTCTGGGAAGGATGTCTTGGAAAGGAGGAGGGGGTGGCACAGTGGAGAAGAATGAAAAGACAGACACAGGCAGGACACGGGCCAGCACGATGAGGCAAGAAGAGGCAGCTCAGTGTCGCTAGACAAAGACAGGCTAGGCTGGTGGGAGGATGGTGCTGATAGGACTTGATTCTATTTGCCATGGAGAGTTTTGAAGGATCCTAACTATGGCCACATTTCTTTTCTCTTCCCTCCCCTCTCCCCCTTTCTTTGTCTTTCTCTCAGCCATATTTTCTTTTCTTTCTTCTCTTCCCTCCTTCCCTTCCTTTCTCTTTTCTTTCTCTCTCTCTCTCCTTCTTTCTTTCTGTCAGGGTCTCACTCTACTGCCTAGGCTGGAGTGCAGTGTCATGAGCACAGCTCACTGCAGACTTGAATTCCTGGGCTCAGGTAATCCTTCTGCCTCTGCCTCCTGAGCAGCTGGAACTACAGGTGTGTACCACTTTGTTTGGCTAAATTTTTTTTGAAGAGACAGGTCTCACTATGTTGCCCAGGCTGGTCTTGAACTCTGGGCTCAAGTGATCATCATGCCTTGGGTTCCTCAAGTTCTGCGATTACATGTGGGAGTCAATGCACCAGGTCTATGACCA